CGCAGAGTTGTCCCCGACTCCCACCGGGTTCCCGGGGCTGCTGCTCGGGCTCTGTTCGCTGCCGCCGCTGTCGCTCGTCGGAGCTGCCATGGCATGATCCGTCCCTCATAGGGGACAAGGTGAGGCGCCTTCCTCCCCCTGGATAGCCGCTTCTGCTCTGGGCCGGGAGGAGGCGTTTCTGCCTTCCCGGCTCTGACCGCGGTCGCCTGGCAGGGAAGGCACAGCTGGCTGGGCTGGGTGGGGGCGCAGTGGCAGCCCCCCCCTCCTCCTCTTCCTCCTCCTTCCCCCCTCCCCCCCTCCTCTAGTCTACCCCGCTGCTCCCCAGCCGGGCCTCCTACGCTGGCGCCTGGGTCCCTCCCTGTCCCACTCCCCCTGAGCGTCTGTCCGCCTTCCCCTTCGTCCCCTAAGGCAGCTCTACTGGCAGCTTTGGATCTCAGTTTTGTTGGACTTGGAAGTTGGGGGAGGCTGGGAGGGGGGCAGGAACGCTTTTGGGGGTGCAGCTGGGTAAGGATGTAACGTTTCGCCACGGGCTGACAGGGTAAAACAGGGATCTGCTTTTTCCTTGTCTGTCTTCTTCAACACTCTCTCACCCCACCCCTCCTTTTCATTCTGTTTATCCTCCTCGGCCGGGGGCTGGGTCCCTAGAGAAGCCCCCCCACCCACACACACCCGCAGAGCTCACCGGTGATGTAATGCGGGACCCGCGCAGGGAGGGGAAGCGGCAGCCTCAGCAGCCTGGCAGCGGCGGTTCCTTCCCTTGGTGAAAGCCGTGATCTCATTTCTCCGTCCAAGGGCGAAAGCCAATAATCACCAAGCCATTTAAGCTTTGCGCTTTTATGAGCAGAGCCCAGGCAGGCCTGAAGCGCGCTTCTCGGAGTGGACGTGGACACGGGGCGGTGGCATTTTCCTCTCGCTGTTGGGAATAGTGCCTTTTGCCCCTCGGATATATAATACCCCGATATTTAAGGAAGCACAAAGACGCAGACACAGAGCAGGGTGTTGCCCTTTGTCCGACGCGGACCACGGTGCATCCGCGTCAGGGTCGCTATTTCACAGGCGCTCAGGTGTTCCCAGCTGTGGAGTGGAGGGAATACTGTCAAATATCATCTCCGTCCTTTACCCACTTCAATTTTTATCATACAAATGTACACAGCCAAAAACTGTGAGCTGCATGCGACATGTCTTTATTTTATTAAAACTTATAGGAGCCCAGATAAGCAGGTTAGCAAGGAGTAGGGCTTCATTAACACTCCAAGCAATGTAAGACTGGAGGGTTTGGGGAGCAGCTGAGGAGAGGCGTTCACATATTCCTAACCAGAAAGCTACGCCCACATAGTCCAGCCATTTCTCTAGGTTGGACCTGGAAACTCCACCCTCCAATCCAACACAGAAGGGAAAGAGGGTGGCCCTGTAAGATCCTGGATTCCCAGGAGATGGGAATGCTCCCTCTCTGTCCATGTTCTCTGCAGAAGACAGCAAAATGCCCCAAGGGAATGGAGTGAAAAGAGTAAGTGGACAGGAAGCAAGCTAAAGAAAAAGAAAGGACAGAAAGAAACCAGCGAAATACTTCACTGTACAGACGAGAGGTAGAGGAGTCATCGATAGCTGTTATATTCTGGTGGAATTTGAATATATTGCATATACGTGCATGATTAGTGAAATAGTGGTAGGTGATTGCTGCAGATCCATGAATCATGATAGGTGTCCTAAGTTTAAGGGAGTTAGGGTGAAGCTTCTTAAACCTCTAACTCTGCATTTCTCAGTTTCAAGTTCTATTGTTATGATTTGGGGTGATATTCTTTGAGTTTTGCTTAAGAATTTCATTTTGTAATGGGGACTGTGGTTAAAGAGGGCAGGTTGCTGGGGCATCAAAAAGCTCTCCTCTGGCCTTGGATTATTGCAGTTACACAAAGTTCACCGCAATAGAAGGCTCCCTGCCCTCCCCTTTCTCTCTGTATGATTGTGAAGAGCTTGGAATTGTATGTTTTGTGCACAGGTTTAAACCAAGATTTTCAGCTTTGAACTTCAATTAGCTCTGGGCTGACAAGAAAAATGTCAAAACGGAGTATGGAGAAGAGATCCACAGAGCCAGTAGAGCTAGAGTACACTTGTGCTGTTCCTCCCACTGCCCAGTTTCTAGGACGTGTGCCACCTCCATGCCAAAAAGTGGCTTGGTAAGAATTCTGAAGGCCTGCATGTTTGGATATAGAATAGCATGGATCTGGCAAAACCTTTAAGATTTTGCAGTTTCATTCTGTTAATGCATTTTTCCCTCCACACCAGTGTTTCTTGTCCTCAGTACTACTAAACTGTGAGCTAGATAATTTTTTACTACAGGAGCTGCTCTGTGCATGGCCAATATTTAGCAGTGTTGTGGGCCTTTCTCTCGCTTGATGTTAATAGCAATGCTTCCCAGTTGTGGGAAAACATCCCCTGGTGCCAAAATCACCCCTGGCTGGGGACCAAAGGGCTTCAACAAAAATCACAGATTTGCTTAAAGTGAAACTGAGACAACAAACATCTTCCAAGTCTTATCTAATATGAGAAACAGCATCTCCAACGTACTTATTTTGTGGGCAGTGAAAAAGTAGCTCAGTGGCAGAGCACCTGCCCAGCATGCCCAGGGCCCTCTATTCAATCCCTTATACCACCATCAAAAATTTTAAAAAAAGGAGCAGGGGATTTAGCTCAGTGGTGCCACCACCTGCCTCAAAAGTGCAGGGTCCTGAGTTTGATCCCCCTGTACCCCCCAAAAGAATAAATTATTTTATAGTTATAAGCATTTCTTTTATAGATACCAACGCACTCCCTTCGAAAAGGTGTAGTACAGTTTTTGTCACGAAATATTGCCAGAATGTGTTTAACAATGCCAGATCCCAGTTACTTTATATCCTGGGGCCAGCTGCTCACTTTTAGGACCCATAAGGTGTAAAGGTGTCATGGGACAGGGGCTTTCACGGTCACAGTGAGGGGCCACAACATTTCCGAATGGTCTGTGTAATGCAGCCGTCAGTCAGCTGTCCTAGTGCTCGCTGTCTTACTTGTAGAAATAAGTAGGAAGCTTGGTCGTCCGTGTAGGAATTTGGGTCTCCCTGAGAAGCAAGACATATTGAAAGGAACCTTAAGTCATAAAGAAGGAGCTCAGTATCTATGTCAGTATTTGAATAGGCTTTGCAAGAATCCTGCTCATGCCTTGAACACATTAGATTTGGATTTGGGCAGAACCTTTGCTCTTTGCTGACCTGTTTCATTCTTGAGGATCTGAGTAAATGGGAGCCAGCCGTACTCTCAGGCAGTCTCTCATCTCCATTCCCTCCATGCTTCAGCCATCAGAAGCACATTTTAGCTACAGGAAGGGCTGTCTCAGGAAGGACTTAGTGGGGGCAAACATTCAAGTAATGTGTGGGTTGACAGTCCCGCACCCATACGCCAGGACCACTCTTCATCCTCTGTGCTGCTTGGCTTCTCTGTGCCTCAGTTACCCAAACTGCAAAGTGAAGATAAAAGCAGTGACTGCATAAGTCTACTGTGAGGATTGAATATGTCAAATACATAACACACAAAGTATAGTTCCTAGCCCCTGTGAACCTTCATTCTTATTTATGACGGGGGTTCTGAAGCCTGATCTCAGTAATCCTCACAAGTACCCTCCGAGGGTAACCAGTCTGATATGATACAGCCAATAGTAAGAATGGTTCTCACCCACCTCTTCTGCTCTTTCAAAGGTAGAGATGCAGGTAGTGTCTCAACCCAGAAGACCAGAAGGCAGAAGGCACAATGATGAATTCAACCATCCATTATAGGCCTGCCAGTTGTAATAAATAAAGCTCTGCATAAAACTTCAGGACAAAGTGAGATCTCATTGGCAATGTTGGATGGAGTGACAGATGTATAGGTAGATAATGCCACAGACAAGCAAGTAATAAATCATTCCATCACACAGTTGACATTTTAAAATAGAAACCGGGTCGATTCAATTTAACCTTTATCGAGGTCTTATCTCAGAAGACACTGGTGCTGGTCATGACACCTGGCTTCCAGGAACCAAGAAGTAATAGAGAAGCCAAGAGGAGCCCAAGGAGACAAGATGACTAAATGCCCTGTGATATCAGGGGCTGGGGTAAAGGAAGGGTCTGGAACAGAAAGGGGACATTAGGGGCAAACTAAGGAAATCTGAATAAAACATCTATTTTAGTAAATAATAAAGCATCAACATGGATCCATTAGTTATGGTAAATGTAGTATATTCCTATGGGATATGAGAAATTCAGAAAATTAGATGTGGTGATGTGTGAACACTGGGAATCTTTGCCAGTTTTCTGCAAATCTAAAACTATTCTAAAATAAAACGTTTAATTTTTTTCATTGTATGTATTTGTGAGGTTATATTAGTCAGCTTTCTATTACTGTAAGAAAATATCTGAGATAATCATCTTATAAAGAGGAAAGGTTTATTTTGGCTCACAGTTGTAGAGTTTTTAGTTCATGGTTAGCTGATCCAGCTGCTTTTGGGCCAGTAGAACATGGTGGTGCTGAGAAGCAAAAAGAGAAGGAGGTGGTCATCCCCATATCCTCCTCAAGGGAACCTCCAATGACCTAACTTCTTTCCATGAAGCCCCACCTCCTAAAGGTTCCAAAACCTCCCAATAGCACTATAGGCTGGCAACTAGGTCTTTAGCATGGTCCTTTGGGAGGGGCCACTTACCCAAGCCCTATTTTTTTTTTTTTGTAGTACCAGAGATTGAACTCAGGGTCCTGTGCATGCTGGGTACTCACTCTACCACTAAGTAACATTGCCAGCCCCAGTGGATTCTTTCCAGAAAAAGGTTGTTTTTTCAAAATGTAGATGGTATATGAGATTTGCAATTGCAAAGCTGTAATAACTCCTTGGTAATTTTAGATGAAGAGTTATAGGTATAGCTTGGTGATAGAACTCTTCCCCATCATGTGGGAGGCCTTTGATTCTAATCTAGAACAAAATTTTTTTTCAATTAAATCATATCTACTCACTGGCATTTGTATCATCACTTCAAGTAAAACTCATTAAGCAAATATGAAAAGACTTTTAAGGGAACATTTTATTTAGCATTTATTGTATTAGGGTGTCACAGTATTTTCATAACATGCAAATAATAGTAATTTGTCAAAATCCTAGAAATTATGCAACTATATTAAAGAAAATTCTGGCAGGAGAATGTTAAAATCTTCAGTATCTCAACATTTCAGATTAGCTGGTACCATTGTTGAATTTATTCTCAAAGGCATATGTTTTATGTAGTTTGGGGGGGTGTATTTGTTTGTCTGTTTGTTTCTGGTACCAGGGATGAAACTCAGGTCCTTGTACTTGTGAGGCAAGTGGTGGGACCACTGAGCTAAATCCCCGGCCCTTATGTAGGTCTTTGTTTTGTTTTGTTTTTTGGTACTGGGGATTGAACTCAGGCCCTTGCAGCTGGCGAGGCAGGTGCTGGAGACACTGAGCTAAATCCCCACCCCTATGTAGTTTTAATAATAATGTGAATACCTTGCTTCACTCTGGCTGGTGTCTATTGTGCATCAGACAGTATTTGGGAATTGGGGATGCACAACACACGGTGAAAATGCCTACTCTCACATTATATCACTATATGCTAATGGAGGGGATGTGGCAGAAAATAAACAAATGGATGAATAAGTAATATGGCAGGAGATGGAAAGTGCCATGGAGAAAAATACACCAGGATCAGAGGACTGAAAGAGCTGGTATGAAGGAGGCAGCTTGCCGCTCTGAGGTGGCCAGGAAAGCCCATCTAATAAAGTGACCTTTGAGCAATGACGTGAGGGACACAGCCCTGTAGGTATGTGGTTATGAGAACAGTGTATGCCACACGAGGTGAGCAGCAAATGCAAAGGTCCTGAGGTAGAGTGTGCTCTATGAACAACAAGGAGGCCAACAGCAGGAGCAAACTAGGAGAGGGGACAGGAGAGGAGACCACAGAGGGAAATGGAACACGGACAGTCACATAGGGACTTACAGATATTTTAAGTCTTTCCTTCTTCCCTTCCCTTCCCTTCCCTTCTCAACCCCCCACTACTGGTGATTGCACTGTGGACCTCACACATGCTAGGCAAATGCTCTAGCATTGAGTTACATCCCATTTTTGTTTTTTAATTTCTTACGTTTTGAGACAGGATCTTGCTACATTGCCCCACCTGGCCATAAATTTGCCATCCTCCTGCCTCAGCCTCTGGAATAAATGGGATTACAGGCATATGCCTCTGCATCCAGCTCCATCTTAATGATTTTTTAAATCTTAAAACAGAGTGAGAAGCCACTGGAGGGTTTTGAACAGAAAGCTACGGAGTGTAATTTAGGTTTCAAATGGAAAGAACCACTGTAGCTTCCGTGTGAGGAACAGACAAGCAGGTAAATGTAGACACAGGTGCTCCTGGTAGGTGGGTCAGTTGGTGAAGCAGGGTGGGAGGCAGTGTGGACTGAGTGAGGCATGCTGGGATTGCTTGGATTCTGTAAGTCATTTGAAGGTGAAACTGAGCGAGTTAACAGATGTCTGAAGGACAGAGCAATTTTCAAGGAAGTTTCCAAGGCTATTGACCTGACTCCCAGAACACCAGCACATGTTTTATAAACAAGAATCGTTAATGTAACAAATATGCATAAGCATTTTCCTTACATTGTATGCGTTGTTTTTATAGCCAGGACCTCTTTCACATCCTGTTCAAATGTCATCTCATGAGACTTTCCTCGACCACCCGATCTCAAATTACGGCCCCTCCCCGCTTCCTGTCCCTCCTGCCCTGCTGGGTTTCATTTCATAAGGACACACTTGGCTGTGTCCGGTGCAAATTAAAATGGGGGCCTTTGTTATAAAATTAAGAATTTGGAGAAAGTTGTCAGTAGAGCATTAAAGCAATTGCGAGGCCCTTCTGGTTACAGGGCTGTCCCAGGGCAGCAAAGCTAGCCAAGTCCATGTGTGACATGTATTTGTCTGTTTGCTGTCTCTCCCTCCACACACACACACACACACACACACACACACACACACACACACACGTGTGAGGCCGTGGAAGATGGACTTTCTGTGTTTTTGTTCCCTGCCGCATCTACAGACACAACACAGTACAGTAAATAGTTTGTGTTTGTCCCCCGCCCGCCTGGTACCAAGGATTGATCTCAGGACCTTGCACTTGTGAGGCAGGCAATGGCGCCACTGAGCTAAATCCCCCACCCTATAGTAAATAGTTTTGAATAAATAAGTTATTTTAATGGCTAATTAACTCTTCATATAATTATAGCACTGGAACTTTCATAAGTATCCCTCCATTAGTGAGTATGCAGGTAAAATATTTGCTACTACTTCATACATATAAGTCATGTGGCAATAAAAATTTTCATCATAAACCTTTTTCCAGTTTTTGATTAATTTTCTAAGATTGACTCTTGGAATAGAATTTATGTAGGCCATATCTTCCAAAAATGTGATTTGCTAAATGTGATTGGCTAGATAATTTTACATCATATTACCCTTTGACAATTTGAATTTATTTATTCATTTATATATCACTCAGAAGAGTGCTTTTCCTCTGTTATCTTTCATGTAGGTGAAGAAATACATTTTTTAAAAAAGAAAAGGCGAATGTTCTTCTTTTTCTTCAAGAATCCATTGTGTTAAAGCCACATTTTTCTAACGCTTGTTCTAATTTTGTTTCAGTGAACTATCAGTCAAAAGAGAATAATTAGGTCAATTTTGTCATTCATTCAATAAATACATCCCGTTTCTTCATGTTTTCATGTTTCATTGGATTTTTGGTGCTCCAGTACTTTGTCACTGTTTCGCATTTCTCTGCTTAGACTGTAGTTTGGGCAGGAAAATACATGATTTCTATACCCCTGGAGATAGTTAGAAGTTGTTTTTTAAGATTTTTTCAAGCACTGATTATCATAATGATTAGAAGTGCTAACAAATAGAGGAGGTCTAGTGACTACCCTGTGAATTTGTCACTAAGGCGATCCTGGGAAGTTTTTAGTGCCCGAGGTTTATGCTGTTCGTCAGATACATAGACGAGTTCTGTGGTTGGTTTTGGTGTCAGGTAGCCATCACCAAGGGCTTTCAAGTGTCTTCATGGCAAAGCTAAAGAGAAGCAAGTCTAAACAAGACTAGAGACAGAGTCTTCTGTTTTACAAAATATTTTCTAGAGGGGCCGGGGATTTAGCTCAGTGGCACGGCTCCTGCCTCGAAAGTGCAAGGTCCTGAGTTCAATCCCTGGTACAAGAAAAACAAAAAGTTTTCTAGATAAGAAATGGCTTTTCTGTGCTCTGAAATAGCAGATCACTATAGCAATCTTTTGCAATTCCTTTGTCATTCATTCTACTCCCATTTCCTGACAAAGATGCTAATATAAAGCGTGAAGGTCCAAACCACTGATGCAGGAAGGACCACAGGATAAGTTCAGCTGAAATTGAATGCTGTGTTCCTTCTGGAGGCACTGAAGAAGAATCCATTCCCGGACTCTCCAGCTTGCAGAGATCACTGCGTTCCATGGCTCCTCCAGCATGGTGACTCCCCCTCTTACTCTGATTCTGTCTCCTTGTACCCCTCACTAAGTGCTCTTGTGGTTACATGGGTCCATCTAGACAACCCAGGGTGCTTGCCACATCTCACCATCTGTAGGTTACTCACACCCTTGAAGTCCACTTCTGGCTATGTAATGTAAGTCACAGGTTCCTGGGCTCAGAATGTGGCCATTTTTCAAGTCATTGTTCTGTCAACCACTGAGGCTCTGAAGTTTCAGTTGAGATGAGTGGCCCTGGCTTAGCTGCAAACAGTGTGGGGAACCAGAATCCTTAAGTCCATTTGGGGTCCATGGAGCTGTGGGAAGCTTTTCTAGAAATGTATAGTAACATAGAAGTAGATTTCTCTTCACAGGAAGAAGAGAAGCACAGCCAGTCTAAGTGCTGAGTGTAGCACACTTGGCCAGTTCCCCGCCCATGTCTCCTGGTCCTTCCCAATTCAATGCACTTGCTGACTTCAACCCTGAGCATCTGAACTTCTTCCCTTGATGATTTTCTCCTGCAGCCACAGTCTTTTTGGCTGCCTGGAATCCTTAAAGTTTCACACTCCAGGAGCAGCTCTGCATCTCTGGCTGGTGGGAGGTGGGAAGTGTTTTTTTTTTTTTTTTTTTTTTTTTTTTTTTTTTTTTTTTTTTTTTGGTACCAGGGATTGAACTTGGGTCCTTGAGTTTGCGAGGCAGGTGACGGAACCACTGGGCTAAATCCCCGGCAGGTAATTTATTTCTGAAGTGCATGTTCTCCCTGAAGCTTGAGTTTCCCCCAGCACAGTGAAGCCCCAGACACACACAAACAGTGGTAGCTGCCTAGACAGGGTTCCTGTTAATTCGTCTTTTCCTGCCTGTGTCCTTGACCCTTTCCTGGTGTTTCCTTGGGATCACCTCTATTTGCTTCTGCCTCTGGGGGAACACAAGTTAAGACCCAGGAAAAGATCTGTTAGGAGAGTAGCAAGGACAAGGGATATCCAGACACATCTCACAAAGCATTTCTTGTGGAATCCCTGTTGAAGTAAAGACTGAGGCAGGGGCCCAGCACTAGTAACTCATAGGTGTAGTATAGGTGATTCCGGGCATGGAGGTTGGTGTCTCCCTTCCACAGCACTCCCAGGGAATTCCAAGCCTTTTAGAGAAGCTACATTCAAAAAGGCTCAGGGGTATAGAGTAATGATGAGGGCAGGGCATATCCACGCAGAGGGGGCAGACACAGCTCACTGCTTCAGTCCTGCCCAGTGTCTTGGTGTTGCAGAGCACCCAGCAGGGCTTGCCAAGCTGTTCGAGCCCAGACACTATCCAGTGACAAAAGATGCCAAAGAGGAAGAGGGCTGCTTTCTGAGTGGGCTGGACAGTTACCCCCAAATAGGGACTCTGAGGTGGAAGGAGAAGTGACTGAGCTGTTAGCAAAATTAAGTTTGTACTTTTGTTGTCATCGAAGAGAAATGGGGAGCTTATAAATCTGAGCAGTAAATATTACACTTGTCACCAGAGAACGCATTTTGTTTTCTGTTTGACCTGTGGTCCATTCGTATTGGCACCATAGAAGTAACCCCAAGGAACAACAGGTTTAGTAGGTCACATGGAATAACACAAGGAGGTTAAACCAAAAACCACTGCATTTCTCTTTCTTCTTTTTTTTTTTTTTGGTACAGAGGATCGAACTCGGGTCCTTGCGCTTGCGAGGCAGGCCACCGAACCACTGAGCTAAATCCCTGGCCTCTGCATTTCTCAACCTATGCACACACCTCATGTTCCTCTGAGTTGCTTTCCTCCTGTGACTCTACAGAAGTGAAGGGGTAAGAACCATACGGGAAAGAGAAAGACCGCAGTCTCCAGGGGTATGAGGTAGTCTGGGGCCACTAGCCCCATGCAGGTGGGGAAGGAGAGATGGGAAAAGATGGCATCAGAGAGATGTCTTCTGGCTGCTTCCTTTGGGCCAGTGAACTCAGGTGAAATGGAGCCGCCACAACTTTTCAGGAGATACAAAGATATTATTGTTGATTTTTGTATGTTATAATAATAGTGGTGTAGTCATGAGAAGTGCTTATCTCCTATAAATTCATAGAGATATTATAGGAGAACTTTTCTTTCAAATTCTCCAGTAGACAACTACATTTAAAAAGTGGGTAGAAAAAAATCAGAGTATATGAAAATGGCTGAAGCTAGATGACAAGGAATATAGGGGTTTATCATACTTCTGTCCTTTGTGGTCTTTGAAAATTCTCCTGTCAGTCAGCTTAGAGACAAGCTTACCATTGGCATCTTTCTTATAATAAAAGTAACATTAGTGATGCTTACATTTGAAAGAACTCACTGAGCCCTTTTTCTTAGAAAGATTGAGAAAATGATCTTGAATCCAGCTTTACATTTTTACTCTGCTCTCTTTCTTCTTCTCTGCCTCCTTTAAGAAGTCAGGGAAGGGCTGGGGATTTAGCTCAGTGGCATTGTAGCTGCCTCACAAGTGTAAGGTCCCAAGTTCAATCCCCAGTACCAATAAATAAATAAATAAATAAATAAATAAATAAATAAATAGATAGATAGATAGATAGATAGATAGTTCATGCTTTAAATGCCAACCAATCCCTGCTCAATCCTAAAACAACCTCTTCCCCTCACATCACATGGTGAATCTTTGTGTAGCAAAGAGGGGATCAGCAGGACAAGCACACAATGCAGTCTTCTCTGCAAGATCTTTCTGCAGCCTACCATCTCTACATTAAATCTTCTAAGTCTGCTCTGTCATTAGATGTTATAAAAACACTTAATTAGGTGGAAAAGGTGTGTTAAAGTTACAAAAGTACTTTTACTTTGAGCTACGGATCCTCTTTTTTGAGACATGGAAGTAAAGTACACACTTATTAAAAAAAAAAAAAAAAGACTCAGATGCCATTCTTGGGAGTAAATGAAGCTAGGATTGTATTGCATTTCTTACTGTTATTTGTTCTGTTGCTTTTGTGCCAGCAGTGAATCCCAAAATTCTGAAGTGTATCTGAGGACTGAGAAATATTAAAGATGCTCAAGCTTCCAACTTAACACTGATCTCTGATACTGTGAAAAGGCCTAAGTAGTAAAAGGCTTCACAGGCTGTATGGCCACCCAAGTCCTTTGTGTGTGTGATCACCAACAGAAAAATTTGAAAGGAAAGGGAATTATGAATGAAAGCATTTCAGACTATCATCAGCTTCTCACTTTTTACTTCCCTTGTTTTATCGCATGTGTATCTATTTATAATCTCTTAGATATTCTGTCAGCAACATTTGATGAAACAAAGATAAATAGAAGTACTAGAAAGTCCAGATGGAAGTGAACCCAATTTATCTTTGAGTAGCTTCAAAACCCTTACTCTTTTCTCTGTGTGTGTGTGTGTGTGTGTGTGAGTGTGTGTGTGTGAAAGCATACACCTTCACATTTGCCACCACAGTCATTTTTAAGCATGCAGTTCAGTAATGCTAAGTATGGTCATATTGTTCTGAAATGGGTCTTCAAGAATTTTCCATTTTGCTATTATGAAGCTCTATATCCATTAAACAATTCCCATTCTCCCCACTTTCCTCCAGCCCCTGATCATCACCATTCTGCTCTCTGTTTCTGAAAACTTCACCATGAATCATATAGTTTTTGCCCATTTGTTTATATTATTTAGCATGATGTTCTCAGGGCTCATTATGATATGTGTATACCACTTTGTTTTACCCACTCATCTCCCGATGGACATTTTCGTTTGCTTCTGCTTCTTTTCTATTACAAAGAATGACGCTGTGAATATGAGTGCACATATCTCTTCAGGATACCGGTTTCAGTTTCTTTGACTGTATATCCAGAGGCGGGGTTGCTAGATCATATGGCAGTTCTAATTCTGAGTTTTAAAGGGAACTCCATAAAGTTTTCCCAGGGGACTGCACCATTTTACAATCCCACTAACCCTGAAGAAGTGTTCTGATTTCTCCCCATTCTCACCAGTATTTGTTATTTCCTTTTCTTCCTTGTTTTAGTAGTAGCCATCCTCCTGGCTGAGAAGTGACATCTCAGTGTGGTTTTAATTTGTTTTTTCCTGATGGGCGGTGATATCAAACACCTTTTGCATATGCTTCTTAGTCAGGCATGGGGAACTATCTCTTCAAGGATCTTGCCCGTGTCTAAATTGGGTTATTTGATTTTCATTGTTGTTGAGTTGTAGTTCCTGGTATACCTGGATAGTAACTCTTTTACCTTTTCACTATGTTACGTGTATCCTTTGATTCAGGAAAGGCTTTACATTTGATTCCATTATCAGTTTGTCCACTTATTTATTTTGTTTTTGTTGTCTGTGCTTTACTGTTGTGACCAAGAAATCATTGCTGAGGCAAATGTGGCTATTTCCCCCTATGTTTTCTTCCAGGAGTTTTATAGCCTGAGGTCTTGTTACTACTTGTGTTTAGATCCCCCCACCCAAAGCCTTATGCTTTCTCAGAGGTGGCTGAATAGAGTGTGTGATTGACTTGTGGTAGGGCTAGGGCTCAAGGGCACTAGGATTAAGGGCGAGAGTGCTACCTGCCCTAAGTAATATGAATAAACTAAAAGGGGCAGAAAGATGCTGTTAAAGTCCCTTGCTGCTTTTGCTTTCTTCCAGCTACCATGAACTGTTGCCCATGGATACCCTGCCTTAGAGCCAGCCAATTATGGGCTGAAACCTCTACAAACTGTAAGCCACATAAACCTTTAACTTTGGATATCGGGTATTTGGGTTCAGCAATGAGAGAAAAGTAACAACATGGATTTTAATCCATTTAGATTTAATTTTTGTATATGATGTAAGAGTCGTTTAGTTTTTCCAACACTTTTCTGAAGAGATGGTCACTTTCCCTATTGGTCTTGGTCCCTTTGTCAAAGATCATTTGATTATATATATGGGAGTTTATTTCTGGGACCCACTGTCTATTCCAGTGAGGCAGTTCCTCATATTTTCTGGGTGTGGGGGTTGCTAGAGGTTGACTTAGGTCAGTCTTTTCCCACTGAGCTACACCCTCAGCCTAGCACCACACTTTCAACTACTGTAGCTTGTAATATGTTTTGAAATCAAAAAATGGAATATTTTTGTTTTGTTTTTCAAAATTGTTGTGGCTATTTGGGGTCCACTCATCTTCCATATAAATTTTAGAATGACTTTTTTCCCACTTCTGCAAAACACACCATGAGAGTTTTCATAGGGATTGCACCAATAGTCTGTTCTTCAGTGGAGAATCATTAAAAGAAAAAAAAAATAGTGAAACTTACAGGCAGTGGACAAAAACTTGAAATCAAGATTATATCATTTTTCTCAACCTCTTCTGTAAAATGAAACTGTCATAGCAGAAAATTATGCAAGTAAACACATTTGTCTCAATGACCTTTTTCTCAGATCTATGCAGATAATATAAATGGACCCCAGTAAGAATGAAAAAACAATTTATTCCTTTGACCACTGTGGCCTTAATAATAATAATAATAATAATAATAATAATAATAATAATAATATTACCATAGTATCATATAATTTGCTTAGTTTTCATATTATATAAAGCATTTATACTCATTTACATCTCATTGTGTTGTCATCCAAAGCAGCATTTCCCAAAGTTATGGTTCCTGAGATACTAATTGCTCAAAAATGGATTAAATAATTTGGGAAGTAGGGGGTGAAAGGAGGACAGGGACAAGGGGAAAAAATGAGAACCAAGCAAGACCTGTTGTGTAAAGGTACAAGACCCCAATGATGAATGTAACTGTACTGTACACCTAAAATGTACCAATAAACTCAATGAGAAAGAAAACTCTGGGAAGCATTTCAAAGTATATTCCATAGAGTCTGAACTCACAGATTGATTTAGTAAAGGCTCTGAGAAGTGCCATAGGAGACATGTCCAATGTTGTACAAGCCAATATATAGCAGGGACATTTACAGTCACATGTTTTGGTAAATATTTTAATGAATCTAAAGAATAAGTATTTGGAGCAGATACTTTTATTTTTATTATTATATATTTTTTTGAGCAGAGAATTTAAAATGAACAGTGTTTTTAGATGTTGGATTGTAAATATTGAGATTGTTCAAAGTGATGCAGAAAATAAGATGGAACTGATTTCTCCTCTTTCCCCTATTATAAGGGGCTGAAGCTGGGAGCAAGACGTGGCCTGCATGGAAAGCTGGGTATGTTTGTAATAAAGAAACTGGGCAATTTCTTCCAGATGCTATTTGCATCATCTGCGTGGAGCCATGTGTCATCCTGCTTGTGGCAAGACCTTTTCTGGAAAGGAGAAAAGAAAGCCCGAGGTGCACTGAGTCGGGCCAGACGGTCTCTGCTCCATGGGTCTGCTTTATTGACTCTTCACGTGCTGATTTTATAACATTTCCTAGAGATGAAAATAAGAGACAAATCACCTTTCATCTAGCCTGGTTAATCCTAATTGCTTGTTTATATGTTTTTCTCTCTGAACATGATATATCCTCCCTCCTAATTTCTCTTCTATTTTAAATAATGGCTTCTTCTGAAACATCAAGAGTTCCAAAACCTTGAAACAATGTATTATTTATCTTTCTGGCCACACGGATTCCTTCAGAGTCATTACAATCCATCAACTGTGCATTTGCTGACTTAATCATAGGCGGATTTAGTTTTCAGGAGACTGAGGCAGCTGTAAAGGACAAATCCATTAGGGTCTCGCATCCATTATGGGAATGGAAAGGCAAGGTACTCACCGCAACCCAGGCCAGCCAGTGGCCTTGCAGTTTGTTCAGTGTTATAGCCCCTTTTAAAGAAAACTAATTTAGATTACTAGG